TGTTCACGTTCGTAGCGTCAACACGTTCACAGGTCTGTCACTAACCGGCACAGTGCAGTGTCAACGTTCGCACACCAAACAGCGGCGAGCGGAATGATGGCTCAGCAGCGTGGGTTGCGGTCGTTCCTTCTGACGACGGTCTCGTGATTCTCATTGGACTTGCGATCACACGCAACTCATGAGAAAACAAGTCAAGGCAGGCTCAGCAAACGGGACAGGAGCGCACATTCACACACAGACACACATGTCAACACACAAGTGTCGGAAATGACGGCCTCTGTGGCAAGGTGAGTGGCGGGTGCGAATACGCAAAACAACTGGAGATTAAAGGTAAGTAAGCAAAGAATGGGAGAATTATCATAAGGTCAAGTTAGATTCAACACTCCAGTGATTTCATAACTGTTGTGAAAATAGCCCTTCACCGGCTGTAGAGTACTGTGTTTGCCAATGTGCGCCAGTCAACGTTTGTAGTGTCTGTCTATTGAACAGATGTGAATGCCCAAGACCATGGTGGGTTTAGTGCCCTTAGTGAAAATCCCCGGAGTTCATTCCAACTGGCCAGTATGATGAACGAAAAATGACCTTGAGTCGAGGAAATGTGTCGGTTCATTTATTTGTGGTATCCTCGACCCCAAGGAGCTAAACATCTGTGCTAGTCTCATTTGCTTTCATTTTAACGCAAGCGTCTAACCGCAAGTGAACAAATGTCACTGGTTTTCACGAGAGTTTGGTTTGCAAATAAGTGTATTTATCGAAAATGGTCCAATTTAGGTTCAAGTCGAACATAAGGTTGACAGAAACTCAAGGACTTCGCCTACCTGATGAGCCCTAAGATGGGCGCAACCGGTCGTGGGCTGTCGAAGAACTCTTAGCAACCTTCTGAGTAGTTTCCTTTATGAAATCTCACTGGTCTTCAGCGTCACATTGACTTACCTAAGACAGCTTATTTTCATGCCCCAGAATGACTAGTCCAAAGCAACCGATTATACAAGCGCTCATCAACGTGTGGTGGATAATCGCCGGCTCATCTGTAGGTCACATTGTCACCAAGCCCTTCATCAAGTGATAAGACCCAGCCTTAGGATAAAAATAGGCAAGCGCAAGCGCTTCCAGCCTCATCCAGATATTACCACCACTGAAGAGCTAAGCCAGTTTGTCACCAATTCATCAAGTGATAAGACCCAGCCTTAGGATAAAAATAGGCAAGCGCAAGCGCTTCCAGCCTCATCCAGATATTACCACCCACCAAGAGCTAAGCCAATCCACACGAACTCTGATGGTATTAACCTTAAATACACTAAAAGAGGGCTATCTCTTGGATCAAAGGCCTTGATCGAACACCTTAGATGGCCTTGATTGTGGTCAAACCCAAGCTTTCATCGATCACGACTATACGTGGTGGCTTTGTTATCCTTTACTCGTAATGGTTTTCTTATTCGACCAAATATCCCGTTTTTTGACCGCTACAGTTAGTCAAGCTCAACACTTAAATCACGGTTCATGCTCTGGTAGTCTCTGTAGATAGTGAATTCATCCTCGGATGGATAGTGATATTCTCCGTGA